TGTTTCTACTATTGATATTTACTGGTATATTTCTGATGATCTATTTTTTGTCGTTACTCTCAGGTCCACATGGAGGCGGAAAGAAAATCAGTACAGTCCCAAGGTGATGCTGCTGCATCGCCAGATATTTCTTTTCTTGAAAAGATAACTTATAGAGTTGGAAATAAAGTAAGATGGACTATTTAGCTTTATTTCTGAAATGATGTTGTGTGAATTTGTTCTTTCGAACCTGAATACTTTCTAAATGGATCTCTAGCTTTTGCTTGAAGAATATGTTATACTAGTGACACCTGTTTGTATGCATGTATAATTAGGTCGGCCCCATAACAATGCAGCCATTAATCCTGTGGTGGAAGTATTTTGTTTTAATTTTTTGTTTTTTAAAGAAAAAGTTAGTTAAATGGACTAATTATAAATATGGTAAATCTGTGGTTACAATAGGATTATGAATTTGTTTACCTCAGACAGAATAATGTTTTTATTGTTCTCTTCCTTTTATTCTCATTGCTTTAACAAGCAACAGAGTTGTGGTCTAATTTAAGTTTTTCTTACCGACTGACATTGTATCTCTGAACTAGAATTATATTTTGATATCAACTCAATATTCATTTATATGGGCCGACTCCTGTTTTAGCACGGATTACTTAATTCATCTTGTGAGTATCAGTTTTGTCCCTTGGATAAGAGTTGTTGAAAATGAAAAATGCCTTATCCACAAGTGCTTCAGTGTCCAATAATGTTCAATGACCTAATTTAAGTAACAACATTGTTAGGTGATAAATTGATCAAACGTTCGGTTAAGATCTAATAAACCGTTGGATGTCTATGAACTATTGATCGCAACTGATAGCACATTAATCCACCTGACTCGGGACCACTGATGTTTAATGGTGACAGTAATAAATAATCAATTGAAGATAATGAATTGGATTCTAAATTATTACTTGTATGTTGACTGAACAGATGATATGTTGTTTGGATGGAGCAAGGATTGGCATTCAATATGAGACATCATATGCAGGTAATTTCTGAATTCATGAACTACATATAGTGCAAAGCTGAGGATACAGTTTAAGGTCCTTGAAAAATTAAGCAAACTGATCATATGATGGTGCAATGATTCAAATACCAATGTAGTGTGTCTGTTGGCATGGAGATAGAATTAAACATGTTAAATTGATGAAATGAATAATCTAAGTTCCAAAAAGTCAATATTTGATGATAAGAATGTATAGGAAGTTTAAATTTTCATGTTCCCACCATATATGATAACCGAGTGCATTGAATTTCCAGGAGAACCTTGTGAGGTGTTCCATTGTGTTCTTGAAAGCAAGTCGTTTCTTGAGAAAATGATAGTTCTCGAGCACACATTTCCATTTTTTTTGCCGATACGTGATGTGGAAAATGACTATCTCTCGTCTAATGCCATGGTGAGGTTAGCTTCAATAATATCTTGTTTCCAATGCGACTATTCATATATGAAAGTCTCTTTCTTATTTCTTTTTCTTTGCTTTTTCCCTTTTTTTTTGGGTAACAGAAGTTCATAGATCACGTGGGAGAGTTGTTGCAGGCTTATGTCGATAGACGAGAGCAGGTATGCCTTTCATTAATAATATTTGTAAGACATTCACCTTAGACCCTTTGCGGTCTAGTATTCGTGTTAATTGATTTTGAACTGGAAGATGAAGCCTGTATATGGTGAAGTGCCTTAAATGGTTTGCTACTAAATATGCATTTTTCAGCTAGAATCTTAGCCATCCGTTCCATTAAAGTTTTTCCTCATGAAGATCTGTGACAGAAAATTAGCTTGCTCAGTCTTTTATTGTTCTTTCCAGGTTCGCCTTATAAAGGAGTTGTATGGGAATCAAATCGGAGAACTTTATTGTAGTCTTCCATATCATATGGTTGAATTTGTGCTTCCAGAATTTGAGTGGTACGTGATGGCTTGCTTCCTTGTCTATTATTTTTCGTTTGAAACTACTTGGCCTTTTAGCCTTTCCAAGTGTTAATTGTACTAAATCCTTTATGTTCTTGTGATGGAATTCTTATTACATCTTTAAATTGGTAATTTGAGTTTAAATGAATGCTGTTGTTACTATTGAGTCTGCAACACCAGATTTTTGCAGCAATTAACTGGACTTCAATTGTTCTTCTTCTTGTTATTTCCTATACAGTGTCTTTCTGGTTTATTGAGGTGAACTTGTTTTGTTTGTTTGCAACAGCAAAATAACAGTGAGTCTTAGATACGGCAGTCTCATCTCTACACTTCCATCTGGGGTCAGTGTCCTCGCATGGCCCACGCATCAACCCAAGAGACTCCGGGCTGGTCTAGCACCCGTCAACAGGAAGGACATTTCTGGAAATCATTTAATTCCAGCTCGGTTGACAAATGCTGAGCATGCATTGCGGTCGATGAGTCTACCTGAAGGTTATCTCTTGATCATCAACTACTTTTTTTTTCCTATTATTTTATGCCACAAACAACTCGTGCACTATAAAACCTCGCCTTCTTTTGTGGTGCACCTCTGAATACACACAAAGGATAGTTGACACAAACCAGAGTTATGCTTGAAATTACCAAAGCATCCTTGAGTTTATGTTTGCTTAAACAAATACACCCCGTCAGATTTGCTGAGTTGGAAACCAGCACGTCTTTGAGGGGGTGTTTGTAATTCGAAACTCA